CCCCAAAACCCCAAAACCCCAAAACCCCAAAACCCCAACTTGTAATAGCACACTTTTAGCGAATATTAAATTTTATTTTAACTTTATTTGCTTAAAATTCCACTTTAATTAGTGGTTTGAATTTCCTTACTTTATGATTAAAGAAATGGTGAAATTTAAGGTCAGGACATGTTATTTCCAGGAGTGGTCTTGCTGTTTTCATTGTCTTCATCGTTTTTATCAAGTAAATTCTCCTATAACTATTGAGTTTTAAGATTCTTTTTCTTTTGATAAGCATAGTAAAAATTGATTATCTTAATTGCCAAGTCCAAAGCAATCATTAGCAAAATAATTATAATTGTGACATAATGCTTTTTGTTGAGTGACTTGAAGTAAACATGCATTGTTTTGAAGGAGTTATTAAGAATCTCGTCATTAGAGCAATCATTCTTTGAAAGATAATCAGATGTTCTCATATCTGAATCTTCAATCATGTAATATAATAGGCCCCCAGCCATAAGAGATGCTATAAGTGTGAAAAAATATCTAAATAGACTGCAATTTCTTGTATTTTGCTTCCTGCATGTTTAAATCATATTGAGCCACAAAATAAGCATGTTTAATAGGTATGAGATAGTGATTATAATTCCGATACTTAATAATGTTACAGCGTATTCTCTAACAGTCTTAGCATTAGCAATGACTATCTTAATGTCATTAGGAGTTATTGGGAATCTATCATCTTTGCTGTGGCAACTATAACTCCAGTGTGGATATGACATTTGATATAGATTGTAGTAGTAGTTTTTGTGCTAGCCTACATCATAATATAAGAGGGCTTTTAGTTTATCTAAAATATCGTTGTTCTCTGAGAATATATTATATTCTGAGATTTGCTGTTGACCATCAACTTTCTTATAACCGGGTTAAGTGTATTAATTCTCAATAGCAGTTTCACATCCTTCGTAAAATTCAGGCCGCATTAAATCGTGCTCTTTCTTGTCTGGAGTTACATTAGTCTCATCCTCAACAATGCATGGAGGACCATATTCACTCATTTGAAGGGAAATGATTGGTAGTTAAGTAGTTTTGTCCTCTTTTACTAATTTTGATTCACTTGATTCTGCATCTATTTCAAATTTTATATTAGACAATGGACATTATTTGTCTTCGAGGACGCAAAGTCGATATTCGTGATTTTGGTCATCTGATCCACATAGTTTATAACCTGAATCGCATTTGGCTTCATGTTTTTAGGATTCAGCATTTAAGCTAATGAGTGGCCTATGTAAATTGTAAAAGCTTAGATCATTATCTCTTTAAATACATATATTTTTGCCATTGAATATCTATATAGCTAATGGATCTTGACTATCTATATCACGACATCCAGCAAATGTCTAATTCGAATCACAAGAACCTACAATCAAGCCTTCATAATCTCCATCATCAGATTTAGAACAGTCACATCCAGCAACATAACCAGCAAACTTAGATTAGGTTGCTAACTCATAATCGTCAGGACATGGATTAGTGTCAAAATTTGATTTCGAGTCTGATTGAGACTTTAGTATAATGTCTGTGATTGGCCCCTTTTCCCAGAATTTCTGGACATTATGTAGATAATCTTATGACCAGAGGCTATTGATGTATGCAAAAGCAACAAAGAGAGTCAGAGCGCAACCAAGTATAACTTGAATGATTAGTAGTCTAAATGTCCTTTTAGACTCAGCTTTTTTTGTATGCACCATAATTTTTTAAAAATTGATTTATATTTTATTGACTTCGAACTTTTAATATCAGAATAAATTTGATTAAATGTTAATTCAAACACTGCCACTGCCACTAACATTAATTTTAATTTTAATTTTAATTTTTAATTTATTAAGCAATTTAAAGTTAAATCCAATATGTAGCCAATTTAAGATAATAACAAATCTCAAGTTAATCTAAGGAAAAATGAGGAAAGCTAATCAAGCCTTAGAAAGAAAAAAAATTTGCACTCTAGAAATCTTAATAGCACAGTAGCTTAAGAAGCTTTAAGAAATCTAGGTATTGGAGTTTAAGACGTCCATGCAATGTAAGAATTATTTACTTTAATCAAGCATCTTAGAGGATTTTCAGATTTTTGAAAGCAGTAGAGTGAAGAATAACTAGATTAAGAAATACTGGGGCTAAGATATGAGAGATACCAGAAGAAGATTAAACAACGAATCGAGGCAGTAGAGACAGAAATCAGACGTCTAAGTAAGTATACTATGCCAATATCTATTTTTATTAAGAGGAATAAGAGAAAAAGAGAATTTTGAGATAAAGCAGAACTCTTTATAATAATGATTCATCTGTAAATATTAGCGTCAAGAATGCTCCTATCATCACCCATAAAAATGAATTTAAAAGCGAAGTCTACTTAAATTTGCCTGAGAGTCTAACGAATAACTAAAAAGCAAGGAATCAGAGTTTAGATTTTAAAACTAGTACCTTAGATGTTAATACTCCTTACTAAAATGTTAGCAATAGCATAATAAATCATTTGGATTATTCTAACATTATTAGCTCTGAAACCCTAGAGGCAAACTCTAGATCTCCAGGGTCACTCTCTGCTAAGAAATCAGAAAAGAAGTTATTTCAACTTATCGATTTAAAGATAGAAAGAATGAAAGAAAACGAGTAAAAGAGGAAGTAGATAATGGACAAACTTTCTCGAAAATTGGAATTATCATCAATCTAGAGAAATCAGATCCTTATTGAAGATGTATAATACAGGGTTTCTAAAAAGCTTTCAAATAAATTAGAAGTAATTAAGAAGCATAACAGAGAGATGGAAGAAAAGCAAAGCTAAGAATTTTAGAATGAGTTACAAAGGCTCAAGGAATAATAGGAATAGGCCAAATTATTTAAAAAAGAGTAGAGGTTACAAGAAAAATTCAAAACTGAATAGGAATTAAAGATAAAAGAAATAAAATAATAGGAATAAATTCAGCAGTAAAAGGAGGACTTTGAGAATAATAAATAGCGATTAGAAGTTATTGAAACAAAGCATATTAAAAGTTAACAGAAGATGTTTGAATCACTTAAGTAAAAGTCTGATAATCTGAAGCATAAAAATCGTCTTCTAAGTGAAAAAAGATTCATAGTTCAAGAAATGAATATGGAGAAAGAGCGTAAAATAGCTGAAAGCTTTTTGAAAAATGAGCAATACAGGTCAACCATATATCATAGCCGACAACTCAGGCAATCTAATCACTTTACTTAATAAAATGGACAGATTTATTAGATGAATAATGATCCACTAGATGTTGAAAAAAGAAATAAGTATTCAATTTTAAATCGCTCTGTCAATTCTGAATCAAGGGCTAATTTTGATTTGAATCTTCACCAGTCTCTTGAGGAAAGAATTAGAAAAGCTACTGAAAGAAAAGAGGAGCAAGAAAAGGAAAGGTAAAGATAGAATCAGCTAAAAAAAGAGATGGAAAGACTTAAGTTAGAAGAGATACAGGAGCTAAAGAGGATACAGCAAAATCAAAGATAAGCTATAAATAAGCACATTTTTGAGAAGCAAAAGGAGAAAGAATTACAAGTAAGATAAATGAGGGAGAGTCTTGAGAAAAGGGCGCAAGAAGCCTATAATGTACAAATAAGATATAATAAAGAAAAGGAATTGAAAATTAGGTAGTCACTCAATTTCATTTGAATATAGTCAATAATGAAATTTAGAATTCCATTAATTTTGGAAAAAATTTGATTTATTTTCATTTTTCATTTTGATCTTATTACTTTGATAATATTATTGCGGGGTTTTGGGGTTTTGGGG